AACCACTTCATGGAGGGGTCGAAAGCGCACTCGCAGCGAAAACCCTAAACCCTAAACCCTAAACCCTAAACCCTAAGCCCTAAACCCTATAAACCCTAAACCCTAAACCCTAAACCCTAAACCCTATAAACCCCAAAATCGGCACAGGGAGCTTTTCAAGTACCAGCACGTGCTGGGCCCCGGCCGGGTGAAGCTCAAGGACTGCCGGTTCATGATTCAGGGGTTTAGGGGTTTACGGGTTTAGGGTTTAGGGTTTAGGGGTTTAGGGGTTTAGGGTTTAGGGTTTAGGGGTTTAGGGGTTACGGTTTAGGGGTTTAGGGGTTAGAGTTTAGGGGTGTAGGGGTTTAGGGTTTAGGGTTTAGGGTTCGGGGTTTCGGGTTTTCCATGGGCTTTGAGGTCCCCTCGAGTGCTGAGGTGGGGGACGCGTGTTTGCGGCGTTTCGCATAATTTTGCTTAGCCTTCCTGTGTCAGCGGACTCACGGCAGTTCTGGGTTCTGCATCGCCGTTTCAGATCCTGCGTTTGCATTTATGAATGCAAAGGCTGCAGTGCTTCCCAGATTGCCATGGGATTGGAGTCCGACTTGTGTCCAGACTACAATTCCACGACGCTTCCTTGGAATGATTTGCGTACCAAAGTGTCCGAGGTCTTGGCATGTGCCCTGAACTTGGATTGCGGCCGCACTTTGCCACTGCCGCCATACAGGTTTCTTCTCCCGATCGCGGATGAGATTTGCTATCGGGACAGCGCCGGCTTAGCACGTGTGAAGCTGCTTTGTCCTGCCGGGTTTGCTTTGGCATATGCTTGCGTCATCTTCTTTGGGCAGATGGAGTCGAGTACAGATCCTGTGCAAATCTATGGCAGTGGGAAGTTTGCCGCGAAGCTGTTCTTCGACCTTTCCCCATCACTGGAACTCTCAGAGCTTTCCTTTGGTGGGGCGAGGCCGCTGCGACTGCTGAGCTTTCTTGGGTTTCAGTCGCAGCGGGCGCTCTTGCGAGTACTGAACATGCCGGCACAAAATCCCGCGACGCCTCGGGAATCTTCAAGCTTCTGGTTGTCCTTCGAAGGTCTGAACACTTCCACCCCAGGTGCACGGGACGAGGGGAGGCGGCACTTCTTCGCACTCGCACCAAGGCTCTGCATCGAGGTCGTCCACCCCACGGAAACGCCCCTGTCGCTCCTGCGGAATTCCGTGGAGTCGCTGGCCTCCGTAGGTGTTCTCGCAGGCTCCTCTTCTCAAATCTCGCTGGCCGTGCGATTGCAGGGCGGCTGCGGAGGTGTGTGGTCCAATGACGAGGCCCCTGAGGGCTGGTACTTGGCCTGGCTCCGGCAACGCTTCCGTTGCACTCGGCTCTGTGGGGATGAGGTGAATGCTTGCCGGGAGGGCTCGTCCGGTGTCGTGCTCCTCGTTCACAGCTCTTGGCATGCACTACCGTTCCGGCCCGAAACCTGGTGGTTGATGCTGCATCAAGCGGCGGCGCTACTCGCAGGCAAGCTTGGTGGGCCGCACATCGCAGCCGTCTCCCTGATGGAAAAGACACTGCAGGGAGCACAGGGTGCCTTGGGATCCGGAGGCCGCGCCCTGAAAGCGCTGAACCGGCAGACCGATGAAAGCGATTGGAGGAATCTGGTGTTGAGTGTTCCAGCAATGTCTTCGAGCTGGAACCTGACCGAGGCTCAAGACAAGCTGTCCGGGATTTACTACCTCTTTTCCGAAAATGCTCGAGCCAAATCATGGTCAGGAGCACCACCCCCTAAGGGCATCCAGCGGTGCACGCCCTCCTTGCCGAACCTGTGTGCACCGAAGTCCTGGTGGAAGGACTGGATCCAAGACGTGTGGCTGCTCCCGTCTGCACAGTTGCAATCGGCCGGCGGTCCTAAGGGAGGAGAGAGCTTCGTGGCTCTCTTTGACGGCCTCTTTTTGCCAGGCAGAGGGTTCAGCTATGACCACGCCCCGTCCGCCCAGACAGCATTGGGCATACCGCCGTGCTACGCCTGTCATCAAGTGAAACCAGCAAGCTCTGACTTCACAGTGTACATCTCCGTGTTGGACGTGCTAGGCCCCTGTCGCGAGCTCTTTAGCAACATCTTTATGGATGCGCTGGAGGCCTTGCAGCTCGCATCCTTCCAGGGACCTCAGGTAGCTAGGTGGCAGTTTGGGAAACTTTAAAATTTCCCTTATGGTTTCTATATGTTTCTATAGAGATACCTACTCATAAATACTTTTCAGGGCCCCCAAACTACAACCCAGGTAGTGTTGGTCGAGCCTTTCATCTGCAATGCAGTTTGGCAGCGCTACGGAGAGCTGGAGGCGGCCGAGCTGCGCGCGAAAGCTTTGGCCGAAGGTCGGGGCTGGTCCATCTACTCCAACTGGAATCAGAAACTTCGTAGCTGAGGAGGTAGCCTTTTTATAGATTTAGGGGGTTCATTCGCAGGAGTGCTGCCATAATTAACATCATGGAAGGATGTAAACGGCTAGCCAACGAAGGAAAACCGCTTGCGGGCTTCGCCACGGCAGCGTCACGGCCTTCGGAGCGCTCTTCGACTGGCCGGCGCTCACATCCTGGTTGCAGGAGGTCCGTGGCATTCGGGGCCAGATTTCTTGGGAGGAATTTCTTCGACGTACCGGTGGAAGAGTGGATATGCTGGCCATGCAAGCTGATCACCCCAACGAAGGTGGCCAAAGAGTGCCTTGTGGGGACTCCGACCAGCCAGAGGTCTTGCGTTTCTACGAGTCCAACTTGAATATCCAGCGCCGCGCCTGCGTACGCAACACGCAGCACAGCGATGGCTTTGAGCTTCGCTTGTTGGATGAAGGCCGGTTGGCAGAAGCTGTGCAGACAGCTGTCGCGCAGGCGAAGTCATCAGGAAATGCTTGGGCTTCTGTTGGTCTCTACCTCTACTGGGTCGAAGGTGCAGAAAGGGCACGCCTCCATCCCGGTCGGTATGGCTACCTATCTGTCCACTCCTTTTACACTTCGATTCTTTGTCATAGTTGGGTAACATTTCACATTTTTAAAGGTACTTAAACCCAAGAAGGAATATAAATTTAAATTTATCATACTACCCCAACCATGAACTAGGATTTGGCGCGGGCTTCGGTTTTCGCACTGGGTCTATCAGCGGGCTGCAGAGCTTGCCAGGAAGCTGAAGCTCCGAGTTGGCAGCCGAGTTGGCTTCGAGTCTTTGGGGCGAACCTTGAACTACCAGAACCTACTTTTTTTGGTAGGTTCTTATTATAAACCTAATTACTGTAGGTTCTTATTAACCTAATTATAGACCTAAATATAGAATTTATCGGGACTCTACAAAAAAGTAGGTCTTGGTAGCTTGAGGAAGTCCCTACATGGCGGCTCATTGGCGGAAGGGCGACTGGTTCCTGGGGCCGCACCCACGGAAGCTGGAGCAGGCTGCACTCGCGGAGGTGCCCGAGTTTGCGGCGATGTTGAAAGAGCACCTCCTACGGCTCGGCCTAAGAAGGCTCTTTCTGATGACGAACGCTCCAGCCACCGGCAAGGCCGTGAAAGATTTGAGTCGCGAGCTTGCGGGCACGGCAGAGCTGGTTCTGGCGCCGCCGCTTCTCGGGGACAGCAACAGCCTGCGGCAGCTGTGTGTGGAGATGGCATTGGCCGCGGCCTCTGACTTCTTTATAGCCTTTGGAGATGGGCTCATCCGTGGCCACGTCTCCATGCCATCTTTGCTGGTTATGCAGATGAGGCTGCATGCGGAATCCTGGCCTCTTCAGTCACATGCCTTCTCCTTCGCTACCCCGGGCCATTTTGATGAGGACTGGCTTGGCCTCTGAGAAAGAAAGAGCGAAGGCTGCTTGCCATGACCCAACCGCAAAGCCGCATAAGGTTTAGGCAAGAAATCTGTGCAACCTGATTAAGAAACCTTGAAATTCTCCAAAATGGGATATGTACAGCAGGAATACGAACAGGGACATTTGAGAATCAGGTTCCTGCAGTAGGATAGCCGAGCGTTGACAAGAAGGCCCCCGCAAATTTCTGAAGGGAAACTTTGCAATATCTTTGTATGTCGCGGCGCCCGAAACCCGAGGCTGCGACTATTCGTAAACTCCCAAGCCCGATTCACAGAATCAGCAGTAGGAGTATTTACAGTTGCTGTAGCCACTGTGTTTTCTGTGTAGTGTGGAACCGTTACAGCTTCAGTACAATTCCTACATGTTTACCACAAACTTCCATCAGCAAGTGCTGAATCGGCGGTTTTTTCCACCCAGTCACGGTCCCAGGCTCACAGAACCTGTGTAGAATCATCCCTTGTGACCCCCTTTTGAACCGTAAACCCTAAACCCAGAACCCCAAACACACAATCGGGAAGTGTACCAAACCCTAAAAAGCCAAAGGCCAAAGCCCTAAACCTTAAACCTCAAACTCATAAACCCTAAACCCGAACCCTAAACCCTAAACCCCTGATGATGTGGGTCGTCACTTTCTATCTGTTGTAGATGCATCAGTCAAGCTTGCGCTTGTGTAATTTAATTAATTGACGATGAATCTCGTTGCTGAGCCATCTGAGCCATCTGAGCTATGACTTGCTACTGTAATTAGGTGCGTCCAAGCTTTCCTTGTACAACCTCGCCTGTGAGCATAGTTCTCTGCCATGCGAGAGGGAAAAACCCCTGTCGCCCCCCCCCCCTGCTGCAACAGAGGCCAGGGGCCTGAACGCGGATAATGAAAAGCCAAACCTAAACGTGAAGCTCCGAAGCCTTGAAAAGGACGTTTAGAAGAGCTCTAAGCCATAAGGGTAGTTCTCTAAATTAGGGTCCCTGTTAAGGGGTCCTGTTCATACGGGTGCCGTATTATAATGGGGGCCTAAGAAGGGACCCTAATTTAGAGCTCTAAGCCATAAGCAGCTGACGACCACAAGCCCCAAAAACCCCTACAGCCCAGTCCCCAAAATCCTTTCGAACCCAACGGCCGAGAGCACCAAACCCTAAACCCCAAGCTACCTCTGAGCTCAGTTGTCGTGCATCTGCCTAAATAGCCAGAACAACTCTGCATGCATGCAATGCAGGCTCGTCCTTGCTAAGTAGGAGGGGAAAAACCCTAAACCCTGCCTATGCCTAGGCATGTCCTAGAGTGAGTGCTGAAACCCTAAAACCCCCTTTTTTTCCCCTCTCGCATGGCAGCCTGTGAGCTTTGATCTCTGCCATGCGAGAGGGGAGATAACTCCAAACGCTAAACCCCAAACCCCAAACCCTAAACCCTAAACCCTAAACCCTAAACCCCAAACCCTGCACCGCACCGTAGGCGCGGGACCGCCGGGGCTGGTTCTCCCAGCATCGCCAGTCGCCCACCACCGCGGAGATCTTTGGCAATCAGCCGGGGGACCAGAGCACCCTAAACCCTAAACGCTAGGTTTAAGGTTCCTAAACCCTAAGCCCTAAACCCTAAACCCTAGGTTTTAGGGTTCCTAAACCCTAAACCCTAAACCCCAAACCCTAAACTCTAGGTTTAGGGCTTGGGGTCTGAGTGTTGATGGCAGGTCGTGGTCTGGCTAGACTTGAGTCCAGTAGCAGGAACGGTCTCAAGGTTTCATTGCCGCTCTTCAGATTCGTTCTACCGTGAAGGCACTATAGGTCCATAGAGAAGCCAAGTTCACTTCTGGCATTGTAGTACCATCTCGGATACGTACGGGGATTCTTTGTGGTTTTGCGATGGCTGGGCTGTAGCATGTTGTAGTTTTCAGGCTTTTTTTTTGGGGGGGGTTTTGGTTTTGGACTTGGGGGCTGGGAATTCATGGCTCTCACGGTGGGCTTCGGGTGTGGGGTTCATGCTGGGTGACAGCTTGGTTTACGCTTGAAACCTAGACAGTGACGGGCTTTCGGATCGACTCTCCTCATTGCTCTTCCTAGTCTTTAAGGTTCCGTACTTGTCTCTTCTAAACCCTAAACCCCTAAACCCCTAGACCCTAAACCCTAAACCCTAAACCCTAAACCCTAATAATCCGAAACTAGAACCCCAGCCCCAAAATCCAGACCCTTAAGCCCTAATCCCCAAGCCCGTGTCAAAAATGTATTAGTGTGAATAATTTGGAGCAGCATCCACAAGGGTTCCCTTTTCTAGCATATGTCTAAGGCTTAAGGGTTTATTAGGGTCTCGAAGAGTAACAGCCCGAAGCTTGCAGCGGAGAACGAGGCTTGAGCCCTACCCCGTCGTTTCGCAGCACCAGCCGGCACAGCCGGCACAGCCCGAACAGCCCACAGTTGCTCAGGCCCTTGGGAAGGGAGTTTTGGGAGTTTTGATCTTCTTTTGTGGACTTTTGCGGCTTGTTGCGCCTCTTGAGTTTAAGGGTTCGGCGAATTTGGATGTCCTCAGGGCATCTGTTGGGGGTTTTGCAGAGTCTTGGGGGCTTTCAATTCTTCTGCTTGAGACCTGTTGGTTTAGTAGCGTCGCAAGCCTGCACAGAGAGATAAAACCCTAAACCCTGAACCCGTGCTTGTGGGCACAGATCCCTAGCCATGCGAGAGGGAAAAAACCCCCTAGACCCCAAACCCTAAACGCAGAGTTTAGGTTCTTCAGGATTTTTATTTCGGCCGGAGCCCCAAAACCCCGATTTCGCAACAAGGGCCCCTCTGTGACTGGAGCTGCAGACCTGGTGGCTGAGCCGGAGCCACAGACACCCACCAGCCTTGGGGCTGTAATATAGGGGCTTCTAGATTTACCTATACTATTTTGGGGGCTCCTTATTATAATTATAGTATAATATACACCAAAACCCTATTCTGATTACTAAGGCCCCTACATGAAGGGTTGCGGGTTCAGGGTTTAATGGTTACTTCAAGGCTCAAGCTTTCAGATGTTCTTGGTGGAGAAGCCTCGCAGGTTTGGAGTTCAAGTTGCACGTGGAGCGAAGCAGTGATGATTGTTGGCAAAGGTGAATTCCCTGTCTTTGTTCTTTTTTGGCGACTTCTTGTTTCATAACGTCTTAGGCATCTTACCGAACACAAGAGACATTTTAAATTCTCAATCCTACAGCCGGATCTTGTGGGACGGAAAAGGGTCGTTCAGAAAAACCTTCAAAGCCAAATTGCTATTTCCAATCCCTACACCCGGAAAACGCCAGCAAACCCCAAAATCCTGAGCCGCCAAGCTAGCCACGGAAGAACTGAATGCAGAGCCCAAAAGCCTCAAACCTGAAACCCAAAGCTCCGCACCACCTAAACCGAGCACCCGCTTAGCAACCCGAAAGCCCTATACCCAGAATCCGCACCACGATGGCTTTAGGCTTTAGGGCTTTAGGGGTTTAGGGTTTAGAGTTTAGGGTTTTAGTGTTGCAATCGGCCTGGATGCAAAAAGGGTTTTAGTGTTTAGGGGTTTAGGGTTGAAGGGTTGAGGTTTACGGCTTCAAGCGAATGGGAAGCTTCCGAACTTCCGGCCCTAGCCCGAAGCCATTCAGCGAGGCCTAAGCCCCCTAAATGTAGGGGCCTTAATACTTAGAATAGGGTTTTGGGGCCCAATATACGAATTATACGATACTATAATAAGGAACCCCCAAAATAGTTTTGGTAATTACCTAGGCCCCTGCATTACTCGTCCACCCGAAACCCTCAACCCCTTTCAAGCAGTTACAGAGCTCAATACCCAGGCCTTGCATTTCGCGCTTCTTAGCACCATAGAGTGCGTCACAATGCATTCTGTTGAAGGAGTATACTGAGATGTTTTTGTGACAATTAGGGTTTTAGGCATACCTAAACCCTAAACCCTAAACCCTAAACCCCAAACCCTAAACCCTAAGTATTGGGCTCTTGATCCCAGGCCTCCAAATCCTGCGCGGCTGCCCAGACCTCTCGGTCACATTTTGCTTGGTATCTTTGTTGGTGTATTGGGGAGGTTCAGACAATAAGGGGGACCTCATTTTGGGGTCCTTATAATAGGGATCCTACTATTTAGGGTGCTATACAAGGGCCCCCTATTTTCGGAAACCCCCATTGATTGCTTGTTCGTCTGTTTGTTTGTTTGTGTTGTTTGTTTGTTTGTTTGCTTGCTTGTTGATTTAGATTTAGAGTTTTCATCTTGACGGCTTCTAGAAGGTTTTAGATGATGGAGTTTAGATTTTGCAGTCTAGAGGTTTTGCGGTTTCTATGCTGTAGCGTTGTTACCATATAGTGTTGAGGGTTCTTAGACGTGACGGCGAAGGGCTGCAATGTCTTTACATTTCAGAGTTCAGGGTTTGGGGCGGGGTGTTCAAGATTTTCGGTTTCCCTAAACCCTAAACCCTAAACCCGTAAACCCTAAACCCTAAGACCTCAATCCTAAAGCGGAGGTTTCTGAGGAGTTGAAGCAGGCTTTGGGTTCGAAGACTCCTGGATTTCGGCTGCGGGCTCTTAGGATTTCAGGATCCTCAAGAGTTGTGAAGTAGGGCATTGGAGGAGCTCTAGGCCAGGATTATTTGAAGGTTCTTAGGGATCCGCATCCTGCGTGCAGGGCCCGACAACGAAACTGTAGGTTTCAAGGGAGGGTGAAGAGCTGTGAGGGTTCTACAGAGATCCCCAGTTGCGCGTTCTTGCGTCTCTCTGAGGTTATAGGGGTTCAGGTTTGCAACTCTAAGCCCTAAGCCTAAGTTGTGTGTGGCGTGTCATGGTCCATGTTTCATCCTTCAACCGTGTGCAGTGACTGAAACCCTACTGAAAGGATCATGGGACTTAGTAAGTAGGGTTATAACTCAGGTAACTATACTTATAACCCCAATTAGGGGACTTATAACCTTACTTACTAAGTCCCATGTTCCTCCAAGTACTGCAAGCACTCATCCTTTCTACACCGTAGCAAGAAGTGTTGC